TCTGCACTCAGCCAAAAGTTTGCTCTTTTCCGTACCCATTTGTATCTTTCCCTTCAGCCCAAAAGTTCTCTAGTCCCAACTTATTAATCAACATTGATCACTGCCCACCATTGCGATATCTTGATGGTGCCTCAGCACTGCTGAGCTCTAGTGAGCGGACATCAAGCTGCTGTTGAAGACCTTGGCTGTTCTGCAGACTTTCACAAACCCTAGACACTAAAATTGGGGGTTGCTTGCAGGGGTCCCCAAAGTCAAGGTTATAGCATTTTGGGGTCCACAGTGGGGTCCCCCTATTCATGGAGACTAAACCCAGCCCCTCAGGTCCCTGACTGCAGCCTCCACACACCACGCAGTCTGCAACTGTTGAACTCGAGGCTCCAGCGCTCGTTCTCAGCCTTCAACTGTAGAAGCTGGGCCTCTGATGCAGCCTTGGCCGCAGTTATACGCGGCAAACGAGTATAATCTGAACATGAAACATTGCCATATGAGCTATATAGTCCAAACTCCTAGTATCCCCCTTAGTAACCTTCCCCTGTTCCTGTTGCTGGGTATACAAGGGTTTTATTGTTGCGGTATGTTCTTTTAAGTCGAGCTTAATAACCCTAAAACCTAAGCCCTGAATCCCTAAACGCTAAGCAGCATCCCATATTGCCCAGGGGTCCGGACAGCCCTGGCCAGTGACTCTTCCAGCTCGTGATGGAGCCTGCACATTGAGGGGCTTCCCAAAATTGGGGGTACCGCTTTGGGGTCCCCAAAATAAGGATCATAGTATTTTGGAATCTACATTGGGATCCACTCATTTTGGAAACTACAATTGGGTTTAGAATTTAGGGGAACAGCATGGCTCAAAGATAAGAAGCCTGGCATAAGGATGACAAAGGCAACTGCAACAAAAGCCATCTTAGATGAGATCTACAGGGGATGCCTGGGATTCCATAACGGCCAGGGTTTGGCGGGATGTCTGATAACTCAACACTTACACCTCGCAACAATGCATCTCTGTTCTCGATTTTTGCACCAAAGCTAGTCAAAGCGAGCACGGCCCACCCTTCCAGCTGCTGTTGCAGGGCTCCATGTTCATGAACCTGCGCATGTCATGCACCCAACCCTACCCAATGAGGGTGTGGTTTAGGAGTTTAGGGCTTAGGAAACCCGAAAGGGATTGTTGCAGTGCTGAGATGCAGTGTTCGCTAAGTGTTTCCTGCAGAAGAAATGAACTTAGTGTCCATATTCACTTCCAAGAAGCAGCATAATGTAAACTTATATGTGTCTGCATGTGTCTATACATGTTGAGTAAACATATATATATATATGTACAATATACCTATGCGCTTTGTGAGGCGTAGCCCTACAGCACCTGCTTCTCCTTCGCCAGCTGGTCTTCACCTTACTTACGCTTAGAGAAGAGGGCAATGTTTTGTAGGGATTGTGGGGTAACTACATCTACAGAAGTACTGCTGAAGGCCTTGGCGCATTCTGCAACCATGGGCGCCAGGTATTCTTTTATACATGTTTTCACAGCTGGCTGTTGAGCAGGCCTTCCCACCCGATCTTAGGCACAGACGCAAGTTGGCCTGGCAACAAGACATGGAAAGGTTCACTCTACTCGTAACATTTCAGTGACAGCTCTGGTGCTCTCAAAACTTGCTACCAACAGCCCGCTGTGCTAGATGCGTGTTCCTCATGCGCCTCCACGCGAAGCTTCAGCTGACTCAGGGCTTCCTGGCCTAGCAACATCTGGGCCTCGGTGTCTATTCTGTGCGCATTATTGCATACTTTCAAGCCTTCTTGAATGGCACAGACACTGCAGCTTTCCTGTGGCAAGCCTTCAGGACACTATTGCTAATTACTATTGCTAATACACTTACTCTTACTCTTACTGTTACTATTACTAGTACTACTGCCAGTATTAGTCTTACTATTATCTTGTATTACTATTACAATAGTATGATTGACTATTGCTATGACCATCAATAATAATATTACCACACGTACTACTCTTACTATTACTACTGCTATTACCTTTTGTCGTATTACTGTTACTAGCCCTGAAACTTCCTTGATCCTCAAACCCTATACAATAGTTTCCCAATATATGGGGACCCCAGTAGAGACCCCCAAATACTACAACCCTTATTAGGGGGACCCCCAAAAAAGGTACCCTGGGAAACTCCCATATGAGCCACTGTCTAAAC